TGTTAAGTATGCATTTTTTAAGTACTTTTCGAGTTATAAAGCTTGTAAGTTACAGCACCGCCGGCATTAACATTACTCAAGTCCGGTTGATAGCTAAAACCTCTTGAAAACCTTATTCAGGATCATGACCTGGATAATATTTGTCAAACTGAAGGTTGTACCTCTTATTTTCATTTTTACGCAGAAGTGTAACTTTTAGTGCAAAAATGAAAATAAGTGCACCAACTTGATCATAAGTGCAACCAATGACCTTGATCTTAACAAATGTTATCCAAATCATGATCCTGAACAATATTCAAGAGGTTTTAGCCGTCGATCAGACACCTTGAGTAATGCTAATGCCGGCGATGCTGTAACTTGCAAGCCTTATAATTCGAAAAGTACTTAATAAAAATGAACTTAATTATAGTGTTTTAGCTGCAGTACCTAAATTTTAGATAATAAATTGAGCTTTGGCAGCAACGACATAAGCTGTTTTAATTACACATTTTAACTGCTACAGCTATATTTTAGCTGCGTTAGCTAATCTTTTCTCTACGTGTAGCAAAGTTTAAACCAGCAACTGATATTTAGCTGACATTACTAAGTCCTTTTTTGCATGTACATTATTAACTTCAAATTCCAATTTAAATATTAAATATTAAAAGATATTAAAGATGAATTACCTTAGTTATATACAGGGTATCTCTGTATACTGTTAAAACTGCTACAACGGCTTCAGCATATGAAAATAAGTCTAATAAACATGTTCGATTTTGAACGGTTTCTGAATTACAGGATATTGAGATAAGGAAACTAAGGAATCGTAGCAAATTTAATGTTATTTAATGTTCGTTATTCTGTTGTTCTAAATCCTGAATCTTTTTCTGATAGACTAGATCTTTTATTCGTTCCCAAAATTCATTGTCAAAATGTGGACTAGAATCTTTATTGACCATATAATCAGGTCCTTCGGACTGCCTCCTTATTTACAGGAAACGCTTACTTGCACTTTTTGAGCAATGACCCATCAGCACTGTTGGAGGATGTAGATCTTCTAACTCGAAGAAATATGTGGTTCATGCATGACAGAGCACCATCTCACTTTACACTTTCTGTGCGAATGTTTCTTCACGATCACTATCCTTATTGGATTGGAAGAAGTTAAAACGCTCCTATTAAATGGCCAGTGAGAAGTCCCGACTTCACTGGATTTTTTCTTTGGGACGAATGAAAAATTTAATCTACCAGAATGAGATTTAGAATGCAGAATTATAACCATAATACTTAACGCTGCCGATATCATCCGCAAAACTCCAAATAGTTGTCATCAAGTCCAAAACAATTTATTAATTCGTGCTAGAAAGTGTGTCAAAATCGAAGGAATTTTTGAACACCTTTTGTAAAACATTAAATAGAATAACGAACATTAAACAACATTTACTACGATTCATGTTTTCTTACTTCAATATCCCATAACTCCGAAACCATTTGGAATCAGACATACGTTTATTAGACATTTTCAACTTATTTTCATGTGCAAAAGCCATTGTAGCAGTTTTGGCACTATATACAGAGACAATCTAAATAACTATAATCCATTGTTAATTTACCTGTATTTTTGCACCTTTATATTTTATGCAACCAGGAACAGTTGTGAGTGTTGTGAACTCGTACTCAGCTACTTCGGAATATACACCAGCGAGTGTACTCAACAATGTAGATTTTCCCACAGAAGGAAAACCTGTAAATTTAATTATTGGAGAAAATCATGCATAGAAACATAGAATGTAGTACATAATTTATAAGATGTTGATATTCTAGAAGATTTTATACTGCAAAGTTCAAGGAACATTGGTAATATACACTGTTCGAAACTTAACTCGAGAGCTAAATACTTTCTCCTATCACTTCGTTGAATGAAACAAAGAAAAAACAATAATATAAAAGCTATAGCACAGACTTCTGCATAACGTTGTACTGTAGCCTTAAGCCTTGTATTTGTAATACTAGAAATTATATACTCCGAGATCTCAAACCAAGATAGAATTAATCAATTATACTGATCATTTTTGGTCGAATTATTTAGAGGTGATTTGTTAATTCTTTCCTTCCCTCAATCTTGGAACAATTTTTAATATTATTAATATAAGACCCTGTGCACAATGGAAATATTAGGAATTAAGATTTCAATTCTATTAGAAACTGTATTCTGGTGTAACTGATATCTGATAGGTTGAAATCTTAATATTTATTCCTGTTCCTAATATTTGTTTTATTATGCGCCTAAGATTTTAAAATAGATATTAGAGTTCAATTTGGATGCTTTTAAAATTTTCAGTGTTTCTATCTTTGTTTTAGATCTAATAAACAATAAAGACAAAATAATGATTATAAGTATTTAATCCAGATCTACAATAGGTCTTTTAAGCCTTAAGGGGATCCTAAAGTTTGTCCTGTTTTACGATTATGTTTTAGGAGAAATCTCCGCGAATTGGCTTCACGGATTGCAAAATTTTTTTACAGAATTAAAGAATGCATTTAAAAAATCCTGGAAAATAATTTCACGAGAAAATCAGAAAAAAATTCACTTTTTCTGACACATGCAACTGTTACCTGAGATTAACATTGGCTGCGTTCAGCAGAAAAAGCAGCTTTGCAATTGCTGTAAAACTCTTCAATATGATTAATTTATGCATTTAGATTCAGTGAGGAACTAAGGGCAGGATCAATTGTATTAAAGATTTTTACAACAGTTGCAAAGTTGCTTTTTCTGCTGAACACAGTCATTGCTTGATATAAAAGTTTTACTTATAGATTAAAAATAATGTGGGGCGGAATTCAGATTACTTGAACGAACAATATTTTGTGGAATTAAGATTTAAAGAATAGAAAAAAATATTTCTTCTAAAATGAAATTACGTGCTTTGCAGACTTACATTTTACCTCTTTTACAGGTAAAAATTCTTTTCCAAGATTAAAGTATACATATTAATATGTATCTATGAGGTAGAATTTATTCTGAAAACGATAAAAAGTTCTAAACAAAATCTTAAAAAATATTTTTTATCGTTCTCGGCATAAACTTCACCTCATAGACACATATTAATGTATATACTTTAATTCTGGAAAAAGTTTTTCAAATCTATAAAAGGAAAAAAATTGTTATACAAAAAATATGATTAATCGATAATACAAATGGGCTTTAGGATCCCCTTAAGCTTTAAAAAAATTGATCAATCACAGTTAAATGTGAGAACAATCTAATATGATTGGTCAATTCCTTAAGACTTAAGACTTACTACTCTATTGTGTTTACAGAATTAAAGTCAAACGCAAGGAAAATAATTGACAATGATTCATCTATTTCTTATATCTTAATACTTAAAAATCTATTATAAATCCAGGTTTAAAGCATTCAAATCAAAAGTCAGCTAGAGCAAAGTTTTAAACAAGCCTGTTTAATAACATTGGTTGAGTTCGGTTTCGGTGCTCATGCACTGTGTAAACTTAGAATATTTTTAGCACTCATTACTTGCAAAACAAAGTTAGAATGAAACAACACGTAAATTTATCAAACTAATATAGAGATATAATACAGTTATAATAGAGTATAAGATTATGACGTGATTAAAAGAGACGCACCGACGAAGCCAATACGAGCATCACCAGTTTTGGCGACCTCGAAACCTTGCTCGCCACCTCCACCACCACCCTTCGGAGTGATTAGCTCACGTCTGAGCTTGGCTAGTTTTGCCTTCAGCAAACCTAAATGTCCAGAAGTTGCTTTATTCTTCTGAGTACGAGCCATCTGGAAGAGGAAATTGTGATGAGCGATAATGCTGCAAAAGGATAACCTATTAAGGTGAACCATATCGCGACACAATATAATAGAGATTACCTCAGCCTCGATTGAGGCGATTTTTTCTAAGATCGTGCTCATTTTTGGATGTGCTCAAAACAATATCCAATGGTCGAGATCTCCTATCACATCATTAAAGAAAAGTGCAGCGACGCAATCCGGTATGTCACTGGCTACACATTCGCGCGTCCATATGTAATTCTGTAAGGAGGAATGAACTCCCACACAAACCTCTCTCTCGGCAATTCCATGATCACAATATATACAGTAGCGCAACTCTGTCGGCATCTTTAATGTGTCTGCCAAAATGGAATGCGCATGCGTGAAATAAGTAAGTTACCTAGCGTTGCCACGGTTACCACCTAAACTTCTTTCTCTTTTCATCCTTTTTTTACTCTGTCAAAATTCCTCGCAAAACTCACTAGATTTATTCGCATCGCAATTCAATGAATTCGTTGAAGTAAGAAGAGCTATTACAGGAGCGTATTGGAACATATTAGAGCATGCGACGCGAATAAACCTACTATTGCAATGGAATAATTTAAACTTTATGAAAATTAATAAAAATAAATTATAAATATATTGAA